GGGCGCAAGAGTCCCGCCATGCTTTGGCTCCCATCGACACGAATGTCTCCCGCAGCCACCGCGTGTCGAAGCCTTTGCTCTCGCCCGAAGGGCCGATCCCACCCCAGTACCAGCGCAGTACTAGCTATGAAACCTCGTGGCTGAACCCTGCCGCGTCGGAGTATTCGCCGCCCTCTGCACCTCACACGGGACCGAACACTCCGGACTACTACGCAGCTGGGCCGTGGTACACGCAGCCTCCCCCGCCATACTCGCGTACCTGGGTTCCTCCGCCCCAGCAGTACATTCCACCGGCCCCTCGCTCCCAGCCTCCGTCCTACCACCACACCCCCGCATATGCGTTACCTTTCGCGCAGAGCGTGTGGACGGGCCACGGGTCATCCTGTGGTTGCCTGTATTGTGCCAAGCATATGGAGCACTACATGTGTGCGAACCCGTTTGGCTCGATGCAACCGATCGTGGCTGGTTAGTCAGGGGCTGCGGCCATCTAATCATCTCTCTGACAGAGTCCACTGGAGAAACGTGTTTCCTTCGATCCTGTTCTTCACTTCGTTCTAGACCTGTCCAGGTTGTCCTTGTTTGTCTCTTTCCGTTATTACTGATGATACCGTGTTTCCTTCGTGTTTCTGCATGACTACCCGTTTTCTTTGGTCAGTTTCGGTTACGTCTGTGTTTCGCTGAAAAGTACCATCGGTCGCCTTTTTCCTCCGATTCTTTTTGTCTTTTATGCTTTCCGAAAAGCAAAAACTCCCAAAAAAAGTGTCCGACCGGTTGCGCATTTCCTGCACGATGTGACACTGTCTTCTTTTCTTCTTTTCTTTGCCTTTCGCTTTCCTATCTCGATACGACTTGTTTCTTACGAAACACTCCTCTCATCGTGTCGAAAAGTTCTTCCAAGAGATTCCTTGCGCTGAAGCTCTGGAGTCAGATGTCACGACAATTACGATTGTTTCTCTCTGCGTTTTCGCCTGTGCTTCGCCGTTGCCTTCTCCATCCTCCCTCTTTGACCTGTTCGATCTTTCCTCATTTTCTCTGGATTTGGGCATTTCATCTGGCGACTGCTACTCATAGATTGTGTTGTGTTCCTTGACACTTGTCAAGTTGGTACATTTGGCTTTCTTCTCACGCACGCTCCACTTGAGTCCCGTGGCGTTAATACCTTGTCTTTTTTTGTTCGGTTGCCTTTAATCTGTTTCTTTTTCTCTTCTTTCTCATACTCATCTGTTCCGGTCGACAGATCCTTTTTTACGTTTCGTGATGCGACCAGAGTACATTACTGCAGCTTCGTGTTTGTGGGGGTGCGCTCTCGGTTGTAACATTACCTTTATTTGTTCGATTTACCTTCGATGACCTTTTCCATTTTGCATGTTTGTTTATTCCGCCCGACCCTCAAACCATTGGTGAGGCATTTGAAAAGTGATACTCCCCTTATGCCCCTTGTTTTACATTTACTCTTTGTCTTGTCTTATTCCCCTCCCGGTGATTATAACACCCTCTTGTGTGGCTTCCTTTTTTATTCTTTCTCACTGCTCATTCCCTGAATGTAAGTTAGATTCTTTCACTACTTTTCTATTATCATTCACAAGAAATATGGGACAAAGACATTTCGAGCTTCCCTTACAAAAAAAGCACAGGGATCCCATTTGATATATACTGCTCTCCATTATTCCTTCTAAGTAACTACTATGTATATGTAAAACCCTGTCTAACATTTCTTTTCTTTCATCTTGCCCCCATGTGAAGGAAGGTGTACTTTCCATTGATCTCTGAACTAACTAGTCGTTCTCACTAACATTCCAAACCTTGCAAAGAAACGAAACACAAAGATGTTGTTAATGAACTTCTATTTCATAGCGAAGCACAAAATAAAAACTCACAATGATACCCATAACGATGACAAAATCGTATTGACATCTATCTATCTATCCTTTATTCTCTGTAGATAGTGAGTAGTCGATTTAAAAGTGTAAAAACAAAAGAACCGTAATCGAAATGCAAGTACAGATTTGACTAGAACCTTATTATCGTGAATCTAATGCGAGAATAAAGTAAATAAACTAGCACGAGAGGGAACAATGAGATAGTATGTATGTATGTAGTATTAGGATAATTGGAACTTATTGAATTGATTGGTTGATTGATTGATTGCCCTGGGGTATCGGTATCTGTCGATGTGCGTGTTCATTCATTCATTGAATAGATGTTGGGGGTTGGGTTGTACATCATGGAGGAAATCTAGGTCATAATTACACGAGTATAAATGGGGTTAGAAGGTGATATGTACGGGGTCTGTGTACGGCGGTGATGTGAGGTTGGTAGGGTAGGCAGGTTGATTGTCTTGTATGTTTGCTTGTATATGGGTATAGAAGATAGAAGAAAAAAAGAATTTGCCCGTAGTCCTGTGCTAGTATACACTCCCCCTTATGCTCTGGTCGTGTTTTCTTTCAGCTTCGAAAGAGGCGTCTTCGTCGTTGTAATCGTCTTCTTCGTCGTCGCCGTGATGGTGATAGTGTTCATGATCGTGATCATCGTAATGACTGTCTTCACGATTATGTTCGTCCACTTGCTGGTTCTCGGCTTTCGAAATTGGAGGATCTGTGGGGAGAGGTTCATCATCTAATCTGTCTTGGCCTGCTCGATCCTGGTTGAGGGCGTTGGCGACTTGCTTGCTCAGGGTTTGGCGTGCTAGGCCCGGAGGGTTTCGGACATGGTGGCTGTGGGATCGGGTACGTCGGGGTCGCGCAGCCTGCTTGGAACTGCTTTCGTCATCGCCGTCGTTATCTAGATCTTGAGATGGTCTAACTTGATGGGCAGAGGGGGTCGGTTTAGGGCGGGAGTGAGTCTGTTTGTGGTTATGGGTATAAGCGTGCATGCTGGGGCGAAGCTTCTCTTCGCGTTCGTCCTCCGACGGGGCGAGGCTGTTTGCGCCGCTCATGGAACCGCCGCCGTCGCGGCCAACGAGATGGATGTAAGCGTAGTTGCAATTCGGGGGATGGAGGAGGTGGTCTTCGCTGTCACGGTGGAGATGGGCGAGGCCGGGGCGGCGGGGTATCGGGCTGGGATTTGAGGTTGGTTGGCTCAGGTGACTGATAGTTGTGGTGGATGCAACGGGTGTCGGGAAAGTTGCTCGAGAGGTGGACGTGGTTTCAAGCTGTACACCTTCGAACTCGTATTGCGGAGCTGGGGAAGGCAGGGTCCTTTCAAGAGGCCTTGCATCGATAGAACGATCTCCCAAAGCTGGCTCCGGGGCTCTGAGCATCTGCTGGTTTACCGGAGTGGCTGTCCCCGTTCCAGCCGGGACTGGTCTTGGGTGGCCGTTTTGGTTCCCGTGAGATCTGTGGTTGTGAGTAGCGCTGTGTGCTGTTGTCTCCTTCGACTGAGGGTCATGTTGATGCTTTGGATGGTCTGCGTTGTGTGCACGAGGCGTACGTAGAGAGCTTCGTCTTCGGACGCCGTGATTGCATCCATCAGGACAACCACCCCATTTGCGACGAATAGGGACTGACGTCTCTGGTGGTGCTGGCTGCACTGGATCCAGTCCTTTGGCTGCCCGCTCACGCTGCCGCTCTTCCTCTTTCTCCTTCCGCAGGTCGGACCAGGTACGTAGCTGATTTTGTAGGACGTATTTCCCGTTGTCTGGGTTGAGTTTCAGAATGACGAATTCGCAGTGATTGATGTTGCGGAGATCTTCGAAGTATTCCACACTCCAATGGTACCATTTCATGAGGAAAACCCGCGTCATCAATCCATGCGTGACGAGCACGCAGACACTGGCGAAGTCGTCCTCTCCGAACAGACGCCACAGCGACTCGTTGAACCCACTGACGCGGTCGTAGGCGTCGGCAGCAGATTCACCGTTGGGGATTCGGTAGAAGAAGTGACCATAGTCTGCCCTTTCGAGCCACATACGCTCCATTTCGGCTGAACATGGTTGGAAGTTCCCGAAGTCCTGCTCCCGCAGCCGGGGTTCCTCGTAGACCTTGATGGTATGTCTTGGGAAAGGGGACGGGGCTGGAGAATCTGAGGACAGGGACTGCAGGATACCCTCCGTTGTCTCTCGGGTGCGACGGTATGGGGAGGTGAAGAAATGAATGGTATCATCCGGTCGTAGAAGGGTACGCAGACGGGAGCCAGCTTCCTGCGCCTGACGGTGTCCTTCGGGGGTGAGTTTCACTCGGTGGTCGGGGATAGTCTGATGGATTTCTCGGTTCTTGTTTCCTTCCGATTGGGCATGGCGGATCAAGATGATCATCTGCCAGAGTGAGACATTGTACTGAAAACAGTGATAGTTTCGGGGGGAGGAATAACTGACCCGCGGCTTGCCCATGATTACTTACTAGACATCTACTGTTGCATGCAGAAGTAGTTGGGTGGAAGTGGGGTTGAGGGGAAAAAGCAAGCGCTACGATGTTAGATCAGTAAGACAGGCCCACCGCGATAACGACCTGATGTATATATGTAGGCTAGCGATCAGGTCACTGAAGCACAAAACACACAAGCCAGCAAGATGAAGTAACGGGATAGAGGAAGCGACCGCGAGAAGAAGAAGAAATGAAAGAGGGATGAGGCGAGTCAGTGACTTGGGACTCGAAAGGAGGAGAGAAAAGAGGAGAGATGATTGCGGAGTAGGGGAGAATTGCCAAATCCAGCACTGCTATTGGCCCCAGGCATCTAGAAATCGCCCGATCAGGTTAGCACAGCGCATGATGTCAGTCGGCGCTGGTCGGGTTTGTTACCGTTTGGTATCACGTATTACCATCTCGATTACCTGCCCGTAATCAAAAGAGTACATCCTTCCATAGCATCTCTCTCTCCTCACATTGTAGTAGTTTAGGAAGCCCCGTTCCTTAGGGACCATGATAAGCTGTACTTGATAGAATGGATTGTAGTAGTACCAACAACAATGATGTACCTCCTCATATGCCACCCTAATATAATATCTAGCACCTAGCTTTCCCAGAAAAAAAAAGAGAGGGATGGCCCTTCGCCAGTTGTCGCCGAGGCCGCCGTACGGAGCAGTAGTAAGTAGTTCGGCACAGCTAAATCTGGCCTTGTTTCGCCCTCCTGCTCATCATCGCCCGCTTCCACGCTCCCCTTTACCCTCCATTGCCGACCATCCCGGCTCTCAGCAACGAAGAAGCCGACTCTCACGATGGCCGATTATCTATATGATCTTCTAGCCCCTCATCTGGCCTCGACGAAGGCTGCCACCGCCCTCTCCGATCCGGATCGCGATACAACCACCGCACAATACCTGAATCGTCTCCCTACGCTCTCCCTCCAAGCATTACAATCCACGGAACCTCAATCCCTAACTCAGTCCTCTCATTCTACCCTTCTGTCGCTGCAAGCTCTGTCAAATCGCTCCCACAAGACCTTTGTCACCTCCGCAGATGGCCTGTCCAATCTCCGCGCGTCCATCCCCCAGTTGGCCCGGAACGCACAGCAACTGCGAGATGCGGTCCCGAAACTCGATGAAGAGGCAGTCCGATTCTCGTCCAAATACAGCCGAGCAGCGGAGAATGTCGCTCTGGAGCAACGGAAGAAGGTGATGCAGCTGGCGCGGAATGTCGACCGGTTGTCCGATATCCTCGAGCTCCCCACGCTGCTCGCAACAGCTGTCTCTTCCGCGGCCGCTAATTCGGCAACGACAGGCAGCTCGGTCTCCACGACGTATTCTACGGCATTGGATCTGTACGCGCATATCAAGCGGTTACAGACACTCTATCCCGATTCCCCGCTCATCAAAGATGTAGTCTCCCAGGCTGAGGATGCTATGAAGGACATGACGTCGAATCTGATTGCAGGTCTTCGGGCACAGAACTTGCGACTAGCAGCTGCTATGAGGACGGTGGGTTGGCTGCGTAGGGTGGCACCAGAACTGGATAACCTCCACCACGAAGGATCACCGGCTGCGGCGGAGGGCGCATTGGGGGCTATTTTCCTGATCTGCAGGCTGGCGAATTTGATCACGATGCTAGAAGCTCTGGATCCTCTACGGGAGCTGGCCGATCAGGAGACACAGCGCAGGGCTCCAAACACAGACAAGAAGAATGGGGCGACGGAGACCTGGTCCGAAGGACACCAGACGGAGAAGTATCTGAAACGGTATATCGAGATCTTTCGCGAGCAGAGCTTTGCAATCGTCTCTCTCTACAAAAACATCTTCACTCCAGATCAATCGGAGTCAGAGCTCGCCGTGACCGGCTTACGGGGCATCGATGCGCGGATCAAAGCTGCGGCATCGCGACCCTCTCACCCAGAGGATCCACTCCAGTGTCTTCCACCGGCACTTGCTACCTTCCCAATGCACCTAATACAACTGTTGACGGACACCTTGCGCACCTATCTCCCCAATGTCCGGGATAAAAGCTCCCGAGAGAGTCTCCTGACCCAGGTCTTGTACTGTGCTGCCAGCTTGGGTCGACTAGGGGGTGATTTTGGCATGATTCTGACCGAGCTCAGCGAGGCAGCGGATGAGGAGCAAGAGGACGACGATGCCGATGACGATGACTTGGCTTATGAATGGGAGGAAGTGACTCGGAAACACAGAGCCTTGGCAGGACGCTTAGAGCAGCTGACAGGAGGTGCAACTCCCGGGTCCTCGGCCAAAGGACATTCGTCGCGACAAGCCTTGCCTACGCAAGGAGATATTTGAGTGGTAGATGCCCTAAAGAATCTTTCACCACTTCTTCCACAGGCTGTGCAAAGTGCTATTCTTGGAGACGGCATTTGCTTTGGCTCGTCCCTTTCAAAAGGGGAAGTTCGGGCCTCCCCGGGCGGCACTAACCGAATGGAGCAAGGCCTCCGCCCGGGTTGCTGGTCCGGCCGTCATCTCATCTCATCCTCCCTCCTCACCTCTCCTTCTCCCTCAAGACTTGCTTTCGGCAACATCCTTGGTCTACTTTTCCCCATTTATCTCTGTATCTTTTCCTGGGGATATTTCAGAACTTTCCCTTATATATATACATCCCTTGTTTCTTAGTGCGTCGACACAGCCGTTGCTTCATGATCGGTGCTGGCTTGCCGGTCGCATTGGCCCCTTCGATTGCCGCCGCCGCTGCTGCTGTGTGACGTTCTCCCTTGCGTACAGGGCCTGCTGGCGTTTTAGACACCGCATTCTTCTCAGCAATGAAGATTTCTCTCTGAAAGCGTGCACCAAAGCTATCTGAAGAATAGCGGCCGTTTCTCTGCAATACATCCTCTCTCTAACCCTGATCCTGCACCTCGTCTGGATGGCGGCCCCCGCTTTGTCTACCGGCGGGTTGATCGACCCGACCAAACAGGCTGAGTATCCCATCGTGCTGGGTGATCGACTCAATGGTAAATCCAGCTCGCCACAGTCGCAGCTGGTCAATATCCAATATAACTATAAGACCAAATCAGCGACCGCACGGCAACGCATCACCCGAGCCCGACAGTCCCGCGATCGCTACAACCTCACAATCACCGATAAAGCGCCCAACGCTGATAATGTCCTGACCTATTCATACCAAGGCAGTGTCGACCCAACACAAGCTGTCTCGGATGCTGGGGAACATAATTTGGTGCTAGTCTTTGACGCAGCGCGGAAAGTGTTTGTCTTGGAGCCGGTTTCAACGCAGCTGAACTTCAACCTCCGGTCTGCTCCGGCCAAATCCCAGAAGCAAGTGCTAGAGCAATATGAGCAGCTACGCACTTTGCAGGAAGAGGACCATGGGTCGGGTGATGACCGGGGCATGGACAATGCCAGCGGTAATGATGATGGCCCTGCTGACGACAGCAATCCCTATGACTACCGACACTTCCTCCCCAAGGAGAATGCGGACGATGACAAGTCGGGCTCGGACAAGACACCAGAACCTCCCTCCTACACCAGCAAGCTCGATACTCCGTTGATGTCCGCTACCAGATCCATTCCTAGCCCTCAACCACCCCCGGAGAGCCGGACGAAGCCCGTAAACGCAAAGAAGAAGAAGCCAGACGGGGTCAAGCCTCCTAAACCGGCGGCTGCTCGGCCACGGCCCAGGTCTCCGCCCCGTCCTGTGCAGCCAAGGGAGGAGCGGAAGGCAGAGGTCGAGGAGGAGCCTTTGGTGGAGACATTTGATTCCTCGCCGTCCGACACGGGCCTGGGTGCTGTCTCTTCTCAAAAGGCAGTTCCATCACCGGGCTCGAATATCATCATCGACGGCGATCTCATCATTGATATGGGCTCTCCGCCGCCTGCTCGTCCCTTCCGGGTCAATCCCGCATACTTCTCTTCGAACAACACCCCGGCGGATGAAGAAGGGCATCGGGATGAGGACGAGGAGCAGGAGGAGGATGAGGACATTGAGGACCTACGGCTTCCCTCTCCGGCTGGCCACGGAGGAGCGCCGGTGGCCTCGAGCGGCCTAAATCTGGAGCCCGGGTTGGATGAGGAGGAGTTGGAGGTTGATGATGATCCCCTCGCGGCGGAGATGGAGGCGGCGTTTGAGGAGGATGTACAGGAAGACGACCGGAGCCAGCCTGTATCAACGCAGGCGGTGTCGCAGCAGTATCATATGGCCAGTGAGGATGAGAGCGAAGTCAGTGAGGAGGAATAAGGGGATGGAAGAGTCTACTATGTAGCATGTTTGCTAATATCTCTCGTATTTCTCTTTGGGGGCATGGTTCCCCCGTGTTTGCGTATATACCAGCAAAGCAAGGCGCCATTCGGAGTTTTAACCACGGGCAAGGTTCAGAATACCAGGGAACTTCGTCGTATAATATGATAACAGCAATAACAATGACAATAACACTAATAATGACCATGATAACGATAATGATAATACGCCAAAAATATATATGTGAATCTCTCCGAAAAGCGAAGCGACGATCCCTGGGGCCCGGAACAACGGGATGATCCGAAAAGCCGGCGGTCATTGGCTGGGCGGTCAGTCGCCGAAAAGTGCCACAGCAAAAGGAAAAGGAAAGTCCCAAGTGAGAAAGGAGTCTCTCTTCTCTTCCTCTTGCTCTCTCTCTCTGTTGCACTCAAAGCTAGCTGTCTCCCATCGCCCTCCTCTCCCTCTAGTTTCGAATCTTCTGCCGTCTCCACCGGCTTTTCTGACAACTGTGACTTCCCAATCCTCCTTCTCACCTGGTCCGGACATCCTGTGGGTGCGATTGGCTTCCCCGAATCACCGGCTTCCGATGCATGCGATGCAGTGGCCTCTCCCGCGATGATTAACACGCCTCGGTATCTCAGGACTCTGGGTGATCGGAACTAAAGTAGGACAAACTACAGACAAGCAGGAGGCTGTTTCACTGCGCTGGTCCCAGCTGGCCCTTTGTGCGCGATCAGTTCGTCTGAGTGGATTGGATCCCTCTTGTCTCTTTCACTTCGGCCCCGGGTCGACGCGAGCTCCTAGGCCTTCCTCTGTTCTCACTGGCAGTTTTGCTTTCTTCCCAAGTTCGCTGGGGATAGTAAAATCTCTCACACAGCTCGCCTCCCAAGACCCAAAGCTCCAAGTTCATCGCTTCCGCTTCCGCTGTCCCCGATGGCGTCTTCCGCAGCCCATCCTTCCGAACTCCCGCCGGTTCCTGCCCCGTCGAATCCCGTCCTCCTTGCAACCCAAGCGCATTGGATCTTCACCGATGAGGAGCTTACAAGGACGCCATCGCAGCTAGATGGCATGGCTCTGGAGGCCGAGCATATGAGCCGCAGCAAAGGTGTCAATTTTATTAACCAGGTAGGAATCATGCTGAAGCTACCGCAACTTACGCTCGCAACGGCCGCCGTTTATTTGCACCGATTCTATATGCGACACAGTATGGTCGACTTACCTCAACGACCGGGCATTCACCCTTACACGACAGCCGCGGCGGCTTTGTTTCTGGCTACAAAGGTGGAAGAGAACGTACGGCGGATGAAGGAGTTGGTGGTAGCATGCTGCCGGGTGGGACAGAAGCAGCCGAACATGGTGGTGGATGAACAGTCTAAGGAGTTTTGGCGCTGGCGCGATACCATTCTGGTGCACGAGGATGTTCTATTGGAAGCGCTGTGCTTCGATCTGCAGCTCGAGCAACCGTATCGCATCCTCTATGACTTCATCTGCTTCTTCCGCATGCAAGACAACAAGCCTCTCCGTAACGTCGCATGGGCCTTCGTCAACGATTCCGGATACACGGTGCTGTGCCTGCAGTTTACCGCCCGCATCATTGCGGCCGCCGCACTATACGCGGCGGCCCAGCACTGTGACATTGGTTTTGAAGACGATGTGCTGGGCCGGCCGTGGTGGGAACAGCTCGAGGTGGACTTGACCCAGGTGCGTCGCGCGTGTATGCGCATGGCAAAGCTGTATGAGAATAATGCCGCGCATCGAAACGGCCTGTACTACTTGACCAACCCCATCAGCACAGACGAGGGTACTGAGAAGACCAGGATCCCGCGCGTGGATGGCCCGGCGGACAACACGACACGCCCCATCGATTCCGGGCATGAGGCAGACACTGTCAACGGTCGGAAGCGCTCGCGGGACCCCGACGATGAAACGAAGCCCCCACGCCCTTTGGCCGACTCGATCCCCCTGTTAGAGGCAGGGCCAGCGACGCAGAACGGGGCCCCATCCCCAAAACGACCCCGGAGGGACTCAGTAGGAGCATCGGCTGACCGAGTCCCGTCATCTCGTATTCCAAAGGCGCCTCTCCCCAGCGGCGGGCCGGCCTTCTCCCACGACCGCCCTTCTGCGAACGGGCACCCTCCTCCAGCACATCATTCGCACCCAATCCCTGCGACCAGACATACGCATCCCTTACCACCGCCTCCCCGGCCTTACCCTCGACGGGACAGCGGCAGCCGGCCCGGTGGTGGGCCTCCAGGGCCACCTGTCGATCCGATTCAGCAACGGATTGACGAGATCGTGCAACAGAACATGTCCACCCAGGGCGGTGGGCCTGGCAGGGCGGAACGACGACCTCAGGAACGGCATCGGGGCGATTGGGAGGCTGAGACCGACTCGGGGCGACGACGACGACCGTCCATGTCCACAGGAGGCCAGCTACCGTCGCAGGAGGATGCCCATCCACATCCACCACCTCAGCATCTCCCGCCGCCGCCACCTCCGGAAGAAGAATCCTGTCCGCCGTCGCAACCCGAGCCGCCTCAGGCTCCGGAACCAGAGGACGAGGGAGGTGGCAGCGAGGAGGGCGAGCTATGATGGTTTCACCTTTGAATGAGACGAACGAGCCCATTCATGAAAGGTGGGGCCTGACACCTCCATACATAACTTATTTCAGCCGGGGGCGTCGGAAAATCCACCCGACACATTCCTCATTATCCTCCGATGAGGACTGGGAGGCTGAGCGCATCTGCAAGGGCACGAACACCTCCACAGAGTGAGAGAGACATACAGAGACACAGAGAGACGAGGGGACGAAGATGAAATAAACTCTTGACAAAGATGGGGAATGATAAGGGGGTAGGATTAAGCCCCAGGAAATACGCCAGATCTGTAGTTAATCTATATCTTCTACCGTTGAATTTAGAGCGATCATCGTGGACAGAAGCCCTTGATCACAATTTCCATCTCCGGAGGGCTGGCCTATGACAGGGGAGCAACCATGGTTGCGCAACAACCCCCTTGCAGCCGGACTTGCCGTCAAGGTCCCAATGGGATGGCTCCGACAACCCAAGGCGAGTCAAGCAATACTGCAGGTGGACTTTTGGCATTTGGCAGGAGACATACCGGCCGGATTCTTTGTCCGCCGTGGCTGGCTGAATCCCAGCAGCGCCCACTGGACTCTCTTATGTGCTGTTGGGAATGCTTGACATCACGACTCGCCCTGCGTCTTGAGAATCAAAGTTCATGGAGAGAATGTCGGCTTGGCCACCCAGCCAACAAAACCCTCTTGCCATCATCTTCTTTCTTCGGGCGAACGAGAAACTTTCGAGCGGCCCGTCCGTCAACGTCAGTTGAACCAGCCAATGGGCACCCCGTTATGGCCACAT